CTCATTCTATTCATTCCTGTTTCAGTTTATGCATCTTGGTAGTTCTAGTTCATTAAAGAGTGTTTAACAAACCCCCATGAGGAGCTCGAATTTCACATTTTCACTCTTTTAGCCTGAGAACGTTGTGATTTTTCACCACACACCACATCTTCTGCCGATTTGGTTGCCTACTTGCTAATTGTGACGTGTGTCTTGAGGCTGTTTACAGATTTTGATCATAACCAATGCATTTTTTCCTCATAGGTTTTGACACTATCATCACCGGTTTGCAGTGGAGCCTTTTATACCTGATCAAGTTTCCAGACATCCAGGCTAAAATTCTCCAGGAGATAGGTGAAGACTCAAAAGGGCCAATCAAAACAACATTGTGTTTACTGGAAAAAAACAAAAACAAAACATTTTCCCATCATGCGCGTCCCTTTCTTTAGCTGTGCTGCGGTATCCTGTGGAAATTGGATCTGCATTAGCTGTGATTTGTGGTTTGTTGTGAGACAGACACAGGAAACCAAAAATACTACACAATTCGATCCACAGATTTGGACACAGAGCTTAAAAGATGTAAAACCGATGGTGAAAGAACTAAACGGTTTCTTCGTGTGGCCTCTCTTTATTTTGGTCTTTTGGAAAATCAGGAACTTGCCATAAACAGGAAATTATTTTGTTTAAATGAAATACAGAGTTATTCAGAAGTGACTGCAACCGGAGACTTCTGAAAGAAATTTAAGACGAACTGCATACTACAGTATTTATGCTTTCTTTTCAAATCAAGTATATTAGATTAGATTTGCAGTTTGCAAGCTAAAGTTTACAAGCGTTTTGTCCAAAAATGAAGTCTCTTTTGCAGTGGGTGGGTGGTATCTTGCAAATAAATTAATCCACTCAAAGTGAGCTCATATTTCTATACACAGTGCCCTTCATTACCTCAGAATTTAGTGCATTTGGTTCTCACATTATTGGTCACAGTAATATGTTGACGCCAGACTGCTGCTGGAATTGATCTAGAAACCAGTGAGGTCTGTCACGGGAGCATCCTGCATTTTGTTGAAGTTTTCTTTCTTTTAAAGAAATCTTCCAGTGCTAAAACAATTTATGAGATCCAAATAATACTGGTAAATCCAGTTTAAATTTCATATAGTATTTCTTCATCTTCTGTTCTGGTCATTTATTATTTGTTGTATGTGCTTTCCTAGATAACCAGGTTGGTATGAACAGGCTACCACAGTTTAAAGACAAGTCAAACATGCCGTACACAGAAGCTTTCATTTATGAAGTGTTTCATCATGCATCCTATGTGCCTTTCGCCATACCTCACTGGTGAGTCCATGTTTCTCTCTTTATATTAATGGTGTGACTATAACCATAGGACTGCGTTGACAAAGAGATACCCACATTCCTCTTTTTCCTCCATCATGTTATCTAGCTGATAACATTACACTGAATGGATACTTCATCCCCAAAGACACATGTTCATCAACCAATATCAAGTCAATCATGACATGTAAGTATCCCGTCACATTCTTTTTTATATTTGTAAAACTCCTTATTATATATGCATTTTATATTAATATAATATTAATATAACATTCATAATATAACAGTACATGTAATTTAGTATGTCATTATTTTTTATTAAAATTATATATATACATTACTGTCTATAAAATATGTTTTTATTTAATAATATAGATAGATCCTATCTATATTATAGCTATATATACCTGATTTTTGTCTTTATTTGCTAAAAAGGGACATTTGGGGTGATGCTGAGGCTTTCCGATCTGAACGTTTCCTTACACTGTCTGGCCATCTAAATAAAAACCTCACTGAGAAGGTAATGATATTTGGCATTGGAGTACGCCGTTGCCTCGGTGACAGCTTTGCCCGTCTGGAGATGTTTGTGTTCCTAACCACCCTGCTGCACCGGCTGCACATAGAGAATGTTCCAGAGCAGGAGCTTGACCTGAGCTCTATGTTTGGCCTCACCATGAAGCCCAGGCCCTTTCGAATAAAAATCTCAACTCGTAACTAAGCTATTATATTTCAGATGTTATATGTACAACAAATGGACCTACAATGCACCTCAGAATGATTGCTAAAGTCGCAGCACAAAGCTAATGTTGGGCATCACTGAACTGCTAAGCTAATTAGCCACTACAGTCTTCATTTCACATGTCTTTTCTCTACCTCTGTTTTAAATGGTATTTAGCTCAACTGTTACTTGAATATTTGCTAGCGCACATAATTGTGTACTCTGTGTATTCCCTGCAATATTTGTGATAATACAAGATAGCTAAGCTAAGTTACTGTTTTTACTTTTAGCACAGTTATTTGAAGTATCAAATAAGGCCTTAAAGTTAAAATTATTTCAGAGACATTGAAGGTTTGAAGCGTTCTGCCTGTTGAAAAGCTGCATTGTGTTGGAATAAACTGAATTAGTGTGAGAGAGAATCAGTGATGATTTTGCTTTAATGAACAAATATTTTTATAATAATTAACAATGTAATCCAGTTTAATATAATCTATAAAATATAGTATATTACATTGTTACTATATTGTATATATTACATTATATAATACTATATTATATAGTATACTACACTCTCAAAAATGCTGGGTTAAATATAGCCCAGCGCTGGGTTAAAAAGGGACAAACCCAGCTATTGGGTTGTTTTGACCCAGCAGTTGGGTTCAAAACAACCCAACCGCTGGGTCAAAACAATCCAATAGCTGGGTCAAAACAACCCAACCGCTGGGTCAAAACAATCCAATAGCTGGGTCAAAACAACCCAACCGCTGGGTCAAAACAATCCAATAGCTGGGTCAAAACAACCCAACCGCTGGGTCAAAACAATCCAATAGCTGGGTCAAAACAACCCAACCGCTGGGTCAAAACAACCCAATAGCTGGGTTTGTCCCGTTTTAACCCAGTGCTGGGTTATATTTAATCCAGCATTTTTTAGAGTGTACTCTATAATATTATAGTCTCATATGATATTTATAATACTGTAAAGTTGTCAAGTCTTTATCATGTTACTGAACTCTGTCAACTTTTTTATTTTTTTAACATCACAGAATGTAATAGAATAAATGACAGTTAAAAAAAATAGCATTTACCACTTGTTTCATTTTTCAAATCTGTGAAAAGAGCTGACTGTTTCAGATCTGTTTGTATCTTACAATAAGGCATGAGCTGGTATTGATGTGAAGTAACGTTCAAAAATTTGGGGTCAGTAAGATTTTTTTTTATTATGGAAATGTAATATTTTTATTTAGCATGAATGCATTAGATTGATCAAAAGGGACAGTGAAGATTTTTTTACATTGTTAGAAAAAACTATTTCAAATAAATGTAACCGTTTTCAACATTAAGAAACGTTTCATAAACACCAAATCAGCATATTATAATGAATGATCATGTGACACTGAAGACTAAAGTAATGACTGCTGAAAATTCAGGATTGCCATCACATGAATAAATTACATTTTAAACTATATTAAATTAGAAAAGTTATTTTAAATTAACATTTCATAATACTACTGTTTTTACTGAATTTTAATCAAATTCATACAGGCTGGGTGAGCATAAGAGACTTATTTAAAAAACAAAAACAAAAAAACATTGACCACAAATGTTTGAATGGTAGTGTATGTCCATTAAATCAACTGAAATACAGTAATTGCGCATATAATTTACTTTAAAGCTAAAATAAAATAAAAAGTCAATTTTAAGTATCCCTACAGCTCTCTTCTGGTCTTTCAGCGAAGGGATAAGAGGAACCAGGGCCAATTATGAAGTCACTTGGCCAACTTATGCTGTTAATGTGTGAAAAGGAAATGAGCAGCTTTGGGAAGCTAACTTTTGAAGTGTAATTTACAGATTACAAAGATTTACAAATTTACAGTTACAGATTACAAGTTACGCTGTTTTAAATATAAGTAGTGTAACTATTTCAATTATTTTATTAATGTAATTGATTACATTTACTTTTTGATTACTTTCCTAAATTTCTAATAATTGTTTTCATCCGTTAATAATTTTGAAACATTTAAACCAGGCAGGGTTAACCTTACAGTATAGCATTTAACACAGATTACTGTCAGACTTCTCAAAATGCTTCATCACTTGAATTAAGATTATAGTCCCCACACAGTCCCCACAAAATCAGACTTTAACAGCTCTTTTTGCTTGATCGTTCTGAGGTTAAATAGAGATTTAAAATCATAAGATACAGATTGATAGCTATGATACTGTTTTTGAAATCAAATCTTTGCATAGCTATGACAGGAAACACTGGCATATAACTATGCTGTAAAAAAACAGTTAATCTTAAAAAAATAAAACATATACATTCAGGTGCATCTCAATAAATTAGAATGTCGTGGAAAAGTTCATTTATTTCAGTAATTCAACTCAAATTGTAAAACTCGTGTATTAAATAAATTCAGTGCACACAGACTGAAGTAGTTTAAGCCTTTGGTTCTTTTAATTGTGATGATTTTGGCTCACATTTAACAAAAACCCACCAATTCACTACAATCTGTATGTGTCGAAATATTCAGATGTAACCCCCTTTTCACAAGTAACTGTAATTTAATTACACATTTTTTACTCAGTAACTATAACAGATTACAGTTACATTTATTTTGTAATTAAATTACGTAATTCTGTTACATGTAACTAGTAACTCCCCAAAACTGGACATGAGCACTGGATCTGCTTTACTGGGTTGCATACAATGGCCTGGCCCACCTTTGCCATCGGCATTAATTTGACATGCACACTTAAATAAGGGATGAAAAGGGACACACACTGAATTCTGGGTACAAAGAAAACTCATTATACAAAAAAGCTAAATATTATACACAAAAAGGGTCATAACTGCAGCTGCAATTACTGAAATAAAAGATAACTGTGATGATTAAGGTTTTTATTTATCTCTTTATTAAATGTTATGTTCAAATGTTATGAGAGATGGTCATAAAATGATGTAACATGCATACGTAGAAACGGTCCTAATTTAAAACAGTCATATCCTTAGAGTTATATGATGGATAAGATGATATATGATGATTTACACGTCTTCTTCCACAGGCTGACCTGATTTCAATTTTAAAATCACCTGTGAAGTAAAAAGAGAATGTAAAAGAAAGAAGAATGTGTTCACCAATAAAAAGGTGTGATTCTGATGAATCATGAACATACCTCTTTCAGCTGAGCGATTTCCTTGCTGTCTATGTTCCTCTGAGCATTGTTGGTGATGGCTTTCACCCGAGTTGCATAGCTGTAAGACATAAACTTATTTTAAAGTGTGTATTACTGTATATACTGTACATTGTATAACAACTGAAAACTTAAGTTTTAAAATGTATCAAGCAGTCTTTATGCTCCAAAATTGTATGGGTTCGCTTGCTCAATATTTCAAGTTGAGAGCACATAATTAACTTATGTAGCGTCTCGACCAATCTGACACACTAATTTTTATTTGATTTAACAAATCAATTATTCATTAGATTAATCATCCTTAATTTTCAACTTCTTGGTTAGAAAATTAATATTTAAAAGACTTTAGGACTCAATTAACAAGTCAAGTCATGTCATAATTATTTATAGCACTTTATATACAATTTATAGAATGTTTCAAAGCAGCTTCACATTAACAATAAACAGGAAAATGTTGTCAAAATCATTATTCAGCTCAGTTTAGTTTAATGTTGTTTCAGATCAATTCAGTATCTGCAAATTTCGCAAAGTTCATCAATTATATATGAAAAGTTCAATATAGTTCAAAAGTTCAGAAGGCAAAAGTGTCATTATTCACCTCAGTTTAGTTCAATAACAGTGTCAATGTTGCAAAGTGTGGCTCTCAAATTTTGTTCTCATCTGATGACAGCGCAGTTAACTTGATTAAATTACTGAATATTAATAGTCTTTTAAATTCCAGCTGAGCAAGCCAAAAGTGACATGGAGTTTGTGCATGTAAGGTACAGGCGAGGTACTTGGTTCTCACATGAGTGAGGTGAGAGTTTCGTCCAGGTTGCAGTCAGAGGGAGAGATGTTGAGGAACATGAGGGTCTTGGCATTGCCGCCCAGTGAGTGCTGCATGAGCTGGGTCAGCTTGTTGTTACGGTAGGGCACATGAGGCTGCTCCATTGACAAAGCCGAAATTACATCTCCAAGGGCACTCAGAGATTTGTTAATAGAGTTTGCCTCCTGGGGAAACAAACATACACAACATGTGGGACAAACAGTTTGTTGTGAGAGGTGTTAGAAAAAATCCAAGACAAAAGTTGTGGGTGAAAATATTCTCGATTAAAAGTGGGGGAGAATAAAAATTGAAGTACTTAAGGTTACTTTTAAAAATGTCTTTGCCTTAACAAAATATTAAGGATGTTAAACAAAGTAGAAAAATAACAGAAACACTTTTCAAAGTAAAACAATTTAAATTATTAAACAACAGTCAAGACGACAAATAGTATTTGGACACTTTCTGATGGTCAAACTTTGCCTGTTTATGCAAGTGTATTCCTTTTTACATGTTCACTGTAACAGCAGAAAAAATAACTTTTTGTTCATTATTGTTCAAAACTTTTTGGGGACACTTTAAATCAGCTCTAATATTTTATTTGTTCCAAGCAACCTTCAGCTGGTCATCTTTGGCACCAGTTTTTGCTGCTCGTTCACTTCCTGCCAGGTCCACCAGACTGAGCTTCCCGAAACTCACGCTCCCATTGGTCAGATTCCGGCTCTCAATCATGATGCCAATGAGCAGGTGAGAGCGGGAACTCTCTACGTTCATCTCTACAAAAAGATATAATAAAAATGAAAATATTTCCAAATGAATTTTACAGTAAAAATAGCTTGTGTAAACTTGTTTAATCCAATATAGGATAGATGAATTAATGGATGCATGCATGGCAACTGCGTGTATTTTTGTGACTTTGAAGCCCCCTACAGTTAAGTGAGTAGAATTCACTGTCGTAAATATATCACTGTCGTAATTCCAATGGATAGCTGTAATGTTAAACTCAAGGGCCTCCTTCTTTGTTATGAAGTCGGCATCAGTGCCAGGTCATCATGTTCTCACCATGCACTCATACTGAGTGTAACAAAAGCAATTAATCCAAACCATTTAACTGAAGTCTTTTAAAGTTTCATTAAGCTCATACTTGTGGCCGCAATGTGGCGGTTTGCACAGCCCTGCTCAAATAATGCAAAGAGTTCGCCAGCGCTGGCTGCCTCTTTTGTCTCTGCTCCCTGGATGAACACAAGCCCCTTTCTGTCCCTCTTAATTTCGATTCGCTTGCTGAAAGCTTCAGTGGGGCTCACAAAGAGATCCTGTAGGCGCTCGTTGTACAGCTCCAGCATGTAGGCTGAAACCTGAGGACGGACAAAAGAAAGGAGTTTAAAGACTATTGTACAGCAGCACAGCTCAAGAAACACATACTAAGTGTACCTTAAACTCAAATTTAGACTCATTATCCTGGATGATCTCAAAGATCTTGGTGAAAGTTCTGGGAATGATTCCTGGGTTCCTCCGATCTCTGTCTCCAACCATTGTGAAGGTTTTTCCTGAACCCGTATGGCCATACGCAAAAATGCATACGTTAAATCCATCAATCGCACACTGGATTAGCCTAGGAAAAATGAGTGTCTGAGCATCTTCATCTTTGGGAAATCTGCACAAATCTCACATTTTGTTTATTTTAAAGGAATAAAATGTTGTTATCATTTACTCACTCTCATGTCATTCCAAACCATATCAGTTTATTTCTTCTGTGGAATACTGAATAATGAAAAATTGAAAAATTCTAAATAATGTAGATCTTCGCTCTTTTTAAAAACAATTATTATAAATGAAACCTCTAAAACTAAGAATATAGCAGATACGTCACATAGGCCAATATTATTATAATTTTATAGTGCTTTTTTGTAATTTTGGAACTCGACAGCCCCAGTCCTCATTCACTTTTATTAAACTGAATAGAGCACCCAGGATATTCTTCACAAATTCACCTTTTGTGTTTCACAGAAGAGGGTCATACAGGTTTGGAGCAACATGAGAGTGAGTCAGTGATGACAGAATTCAACTTTTGATTGAGCTATTCCTTTCATTTCCATGTTTAATTCAATTCCTTTGAATGTAAAGTATGTCTGGGTATCACACTTACCCACTGGACTCCATGAAGACCTCCTCCTGCGTGCACTCTGGGTTGAAGATCTTGTCAAACTGAAACTCACGAGGTCCTCGAGGGGTCTCCAGGATAACAGAGTAGTCATCAAGACAAGCGACAATGGTGTGATATCTTTTTGCCTGCTCTGCATTAGTCAATGGCCTTATTCGACAGAACACTCTGATTTTACCTGTACAAGACCAAACATAAAGTCAGAGACAGCCTATTTGATTACTGACTTAAGCCCTATTTGCACGGGATTAGTATTATCTGGGGACCTTGTGTGATTTTGAAATTACCCCCCCACATCTGAATTTCGTGTGGTGCATTCGCACTGGATAAGCGAAGCCTGTGATTTTACTCGAATTTACTGACTTAACTCCCGGATACCCGGATGTCAAGGCTTTGAGAATCCCGTTCTATGGTCCGGTTAGATGGATTTAAAAAAAAAATAAACTAATATAGTTTCGTGCGCTGTGTCATTTACATTTCACCAGGCTAAAATAATATCTCAAGCTTTATGCTTGATTTATTTGTAACACATTAACCCCAAAACCTTTTCAGCTTTCTCTTTCTGCAAATTGTATGGTGTAGGGATATGACAGCACCCAAAATATTATCAAACACTCCAGCTCATTTGCGGGGGAATTTTTACTTTACAAATTACAGACATGGCCGATTCGCACGCGATTAAGATCACAGACAACCTCCGCAATTATTACAAATGACTGGAGGTCACCAGGTAATACTAATCCCGTGCGAATAGGGCTTTAGAGGTAGTGCAGAATCTTATAGGCCTATTTATTGATTTATTCTGTGCCAAGACCTTGAAAAAAGCAAAAAAAAAAATTTCCCAGGTATAGACATAAACCCAGATTTTCAATGTTAGCTCAGATATTTGCACCTCATTGTACACTATCTTTTCAAATTTGGAGTTCATACATTTTTTATAGAAAAAACTGCTTTTATTCAGCAAGGATGCATTAAATTGATCAAAAGTGACAGGAAAGACATTTATGTTACAAATTATTTTATTTCAAATAAATGTTGTTTTTTTTTACTTTCTATTTATCAAAGAATCTTGAAAAATATGTATTATCATTTCCACAAAATATCAAGTACACTCGTTTCAACATTGATAATAACAGCATCAAAATGTGACACTGAAGACTGGAGTAATGGCTGCTAAAAATTCAGCTTTGTCATCACAGGAATAAATTACATTTTAAAATATATTAAAATAGAAACAGTTACTGTAATAGTAATATGGTAATAATATTTTACAATATTACCATTTTCTCTATATTTCTGATCAAGTAAACGAAGCCTTGGTGAGAATAAGAGAATGCTTTGTAAAACATTAAAACCCCAAAATTTTGAATGCTTGTGTGCATATCAAGAAGTCTTTGTGCGCTGTGTCATTTACATTTCACCAGGCTAAAATAATATCTCAAGCTTTATGCTTGATTTATTTGTAACACATTAACCCCAAAACCTTTTCAGCTTTCTCTTTCTGCAAATTGTATGGTGTAGGGATATGACAGCACCCAAAATATTATCAAACACTCCAGCTCATTTGCGGGGGAATTTTTACTTTACAAATTACAGACATGGCCGATTCGCACGCGATTAAGATCACAGACAACCTCCGCAATTATTACAAATGACTGGAGGTCACCAGGTAATACTAATCCCGTGCGAATAGGGCTTTAGAGGTAGTGCAGAATCTTATAGGCCTATTTATTGATTTATTCTGTGCCAAGACCTTGAAAAAAGCAAAAAAAAAAATTTCCCAGGTATAGACATAAACCCAGATTTTCAATGTTAGCTCAGATATTTGCACCTCATTGTACACTATCTTTTCAAATTTGGAGTTCATACATTTTTTATAGAAAAAACTGCTTTTATTCAGCAAGGATGCATTAAATTGATCAAAAGTGACAGGAAAGACATTTATGTTACAAATTATTTTATTTCAAATAAATGTTGTTTTTTTTTACTTTCTATTTATCAAAGAATCTTGAAAAATATGTATTATCATTTCCACAAAATATCAAGTACACTCGTTTCAACATTGATAATAACAGCATCAAAATGTGACACTGAAGACTGGAGTAATGGCTGCTAAAAATTCAGCTTTGTCATCACAGGAATAAATTACATTTTAAAATATATTAAAATAGAAACAGTTACTGTAATAGTAATATGGTAATAATATTTTACAATATTACCATTTTCTCTATATTTCTGATCAAGTAAACGAAGCCTTGGTGAGAATAAGAGAATGCTTTGTAAAACATTAAAACCCCAAAATTTTGAATGCTTGTGTGCATATCAAGAAGTCTTGCAAATCATTAAAAACATTACATGGGCAAAAAAAAAATGCCTGTAGTTGGTTTTCAGTCTTTTGGCATTCATCTGTATTACTGTTTGACTATTTGAATACAACTTTAAAATAGGAAAAAATAATGTCTGGGAAAGCAGTCAAGGGTCTTGTAGATATTTGGCCCAAAGCCACAGAATAAATAGTACATACCCACAAAAGGGACATTCCAGTTCATGTTGTATCTGGCAACAATTCCTATATATAGACATTTTTATGTCTTTAGTGAAACTGTATGACTGTGATATACTGTGCCTTTCATGTCCTCCACCATGTTGTAGTACTTCTTCCTCAAGGTTCTTTCAGCTGTGTAGTTTTCAATAATCTTCTTGTTTTCATCTTTGATTTGCTTCAACTAGAGAGACAGACAAGTAATATGAGGCCATAAATGACAAAAAAGAAAAACTTATCCCCTGCAATTCAATCGCTATGACATTTTTGAGAGCCTAATATTAGTTTGGATTATACACTGAAAGATATATTTTTCTTAGCTGCCGTCACCTCAGCTTGCAGTAACAACAACTGCTGCCCCACACTTTTATCAGTTTCAGAATTTAAGAATCCATTCTTTCGGAAATCCTCCTCAAATTTCTAAAAAGAGAGAGTAACGTCAGTGTGGAGTGAGAATGAGTGCAGAATAAAAGTGTGTGTGCCGTACTCTGACTCTTTCATCCAGCTCTGCTGTCCATGCCTCAGTCGTGTCAGTCTCTAGGAATCACACAGAAAGAAGTCGCTATATACAGTGGGTATAGAAAAGAATCACCCCCTTTTAAAATAATCACATTTTGTTGCTTTGCAGCCTGAAATGAAGACAGACACAGTTACAGTTACTTTTATCCAGGAGTATTTACTTAGTGCAACTTATAACATCCAAATGAAAGATAAAACACCAAAAAGTCCTTTGGAAAAAGGATCAACCCCTTGCGTCAGTATTGTTGAACCACCTTTTGCTTTAATTACAGCCTTTAGTCCATTGGGATATGTCTCTACTAACTTTGCACATCTAGACTTTGCAATATTTGCCCACTCTTCTTTGCAGAACTGCTCAAGTTCAGTTAAATTTGATAGTAACCAGACAGAGCCGATAGCCTTGTGGGCAGCGTGCTGGCATATAGCACCGTTTGTATGTCCTGAGTTTGAGTCCCGACTCAAGGACCTTTCCTGTCAGTTATGATCTGTCCTATCGTAATAGAGGCGAAAATGCAAAAAAAAAAATCTTAAAAAATAAAAATTCCTATATTTTGATAGTGACCGTTTGTGGACTGCAGTCCTCACGTCATTCCACAGATTTTCAATGGGGTTTAAGTCTGGGCTCTGACTAGGCCATTGCAAGGACATTCACCTTTTGGTGAATCGTTTGGTGTTGAGGCCAAACAATTCAATTTGATCTGCCTCAGAATCTTCAAGGTGCGTTTTGGCACCTTGACTGCATGTGGCCTTTCTTGAGGAGTGGCTTTTTTCTTGCAACCCTTTTTTTGTATCCATCTCCTGACTTGTGCCTGTCCACAACTTTATCCCGGAGACCTTTTGACAGTGTCTTGCCACCCATAGTTGATTGCTTGCTTCAGGTACACTACCAAGGGCTGAAATGCTCCAGGAAATCTCTTTTCATGCTGAGCTAATCAGAATTACCAAAGCTGATCACAGTTGAATGTTAAATGGCTTTGTGTGCCATTGAGAAGGTGATTGGCTATTGATTATACAAGTCATTTGGGGGGGGGGGATTTGCACCTCATTGTACACTATCTTTTCAAATTTGGAGTTCATACATTTTTTATAGAAAAAACTGCTTTTATTCAGCAAGGATGCATTAAATTGATCAAAAGTGACAGGAAAGACATTTATGTTACAAATTATTTTATTTCAAATAAATGTTGTTTTTTTTTACTTTCTATTTATCAAAGAATCTTGAAAAATATGTATTATCATTTCCACAAAATATCAAGTACACTCGTTTCAACATTGATAATAACAGCATCAAAATGTGACACTGAAGACTGGAGTAATGGCTGCTAAAAATTCAGCTTTGTCATCACAGGAATAAATTACATTTTAAAATATATTAAAATAGAAACAGTTACTGTAATAGTAATATGGTAATAATATTTTACAATATTACCATTTTCTCTATATTTCTGATCAAGTAAACGAAGCCTTGGTGAGAATAAGAGAATGCTTTGTAAAACATTAAAACCCCAAAATTTTGAATGCTTGTGTGCATATCAAGAAGTCTTGCAAATCATTAAAAACATTACATGGGCAAAAAAAAAATGCCTGTAGTTGGTTTTCAGTCTTTTGGCATTCATCTGTATTACTGTTTGACTATTTGAATACAACTTTAAAATAGGAAAAAATAATGTCTGGGAAAGCAGTCAAGGGTCTTGTAGATATTTGGCCCAAAGCCACAGAATAAATAGTACATACCCACAAAAGGGACATTCCAGTTCATGTTGTATCTGGCAACAATTCCTATATATAGACATTTTTATGTCTTTAGTGAAACTGTATGACTGTGATATACTGTGCCTTTCATGTCCTCCACCATGTTGTAGTACTTCTTCCTCAAGGTTCTTTCAGCTGTGTAGTTTTCAATAATCTTCTTGTTTTCATCTTTGATTTGCTTCAACTAGAGAGACAGACAAGTAATATGAGGCCATAAATGACAAAAAAGAAAAACTCATCCCCTGCAATTCAATCGCTATGACATTTTTGAGAGCCTAATATTAGTTTGGATTATACACTGAAAGATATATTTTTCTTAGCTGCCGTCACCTCAGCTTGCAGTAACAACAACTGCTGCCCCACACTTTTATCAGTTTCAGAATTTAAGAATCCATTCTTTCGGAAATCCTCCTCAAATTTCTAAAAAGAGAGAGTAACGTCAGTGTGGAGTGAGAATGAGTGCAGAATAAAAGTGTGTGTGCCGTACTCTGACTCTTTCATCCAGCTCTGCTGTCCATGCCTCAGTCGTGTCAGTCTCTAGGAATCACACAGAAAGAAGTCGCTATATACAGTGGGTATAGAAAAGAATCACCCCCTTTTAAAATAATCACATTTTGTTGCTTTGCAGCCTGAAATGAAGACAGACACAGTTACAGTTACTTTTATCCAGGAGTATTTACTTAGTGCAACTTATAACATCCAAATGAAAGATAAAACACCAAAAAGTCCTTTGGAAAAAGGATCAACCCCTTGCGTCAGTATTGTTGAACCACCTTTTGCTTTAATTACAGCCTTTAGTCCATTGGGATATGTCTCTACTAACTTTGCACATCTAGACTTTGCAATATTTGCCCACTCTTCTTTGCAGAACTGCTCAAGTTCAGTTAAATTTGATAGTAACCAGACAGAGCCGATAGCCTTGTGGGCAGCGTGCTGGCATATAGCACCGTTTGTATGTCCTGAGTTTGAGTCCCGACTCAAGGACCTTTCCTGTCAGTTATGATCTGTCCTATCGTAATAGAGGCGAAAATGCAAAAAAAAAAATCTTAAAAAATAAAAATTCCTATATTTTGATAGTGACCGTTTGTGGACTGCAGTCCTCACGTCATTCCACAGATTTTCAATGGGGTTTAAGTCTGGGCTCTGACTAGGCCATTGCAAGGACATTCACCTTTTGGTGAATCGTTTGGTGTTGAGGCCAAACAATTCAATTTGATCTGCCTCAGAATCTTCAAGGTGCGTTTTGGCACCTTGACTGCATGTGGCCTTTCTTGAGGAGTGGCTTTTTTCTTGCAACCCTTTTTTTGTATCCATCTCCTGACTTGTGCCTGTCCACAACTTTATCCCGGAGACCTTTTGACAGTGTCTTGCCACCCATAGTTGATTGCTTGCTTCAGGTACACTACCAAGGGCTGAAATGCTCCAGGAAATCTCTTTTCATGCTGAGCTAATCAGAATTACCAAAGCTGATCACAGTTGAATGTTAAATGGCTTTGTGTGCCATTGAGAAGGTGATTGGCTATTGATTATACAAGTCATTTGGGGGGGGGGGTGATCCTTTATCCAACTCAGTGATTCTGCTTTTTTATTTTCCGTGACATGGTGTTATATATTTCACTTGGATGTTATAAGTTGCACTGAGTAAATACAGCTGGATAAAAACTGTGTCCGTCTTCATTTCAGGCTGCAAAGCAACAAAATTGGATTATTTTAAATGGGGGTGATTATTTTCTATACCCACTGTACACATCCAAAAAGAGAATACTATTAACTTACACAGTTATCAATTTATCATATTTACCAATGACAGTTGGATTAGCCCCTGCTCTGATGCACTCCAAAGCCACCTGTATGACCTCATGATGGAGTAATCTGGCCTGTGATCCGTCCCCCACCTGTGGCTGTGCCCTGAATTATCATGTATGATTCAGTTAGCAGATGCTTATGTTCAAAGTTTGATAGTTTTAAGCTATATTCTAACTCTTAAGAAACCATGCCATGATCCCACATTTTCTGCTGTGCATCCTCTTGTTCCTCATGGCTCTTCTGGCAGGACTCTTCCACTGTTTGCTCAAGACTCTCTTTAATCTTTGCGTAAATTTTTTTGTTGTCTTCTGCCATTTGGTCAAATTGTTGTTTAGCCTCTGTCAGCTCAGCACAAACATAATGAGCCTGGAGTAAACAATGCAAGAAAGCTGTTTTGTTCTGTCATTATCAATTTGTAGGCCAGACTTTAAAGTTAAAAGTAGCATTTCTTGTTTTAAAGCACACAGTTTTATTTTTGGGGTGTGACTGTGTCAGTTCATGTTTGAGGTATCACTGTGTGCAATTTATGTTGTGGAACAAAACTCAATACATTTTACAAACCTGTTGTATAACAGCACTGAGGAGGCGAGCATATGCTGACAGTTCAACAGGTTCTGTCACACGCTCTTGTCCTTCCATGAGCATTGAGATCTCTCTCTCCCTCTTCAATAGGTTCTCCTTCAAAATCTCCAGACGAGCTTGTGCTCCGTCTAGTGGTACATCTGAGTCACTACTGTCCTGTTGGCAGAGCAGAGTTAGAGCAACAGTTCAGTCTCACAGAAATCATACATTGCCTCACATCAATAAAAATCAGTGCCTGGTAAATACTACAACATGTCTTGCTTTCTAACTCTTTGCAGGGAATCTTTCGGAATGAAGATGTTCTTCAGAGCTGGAACTGATGTTTTTATTGATTTTCCTACCTTTTCTTCAGATGTGTTTTCAGGTTCTTTCTTCTCCTGAAAGGCCTCGAGCATCTCCTGGACCTTCCCCATCTCTGCCCTGGCCAAATGCAGCTCCTGCAGTGCTGTTAAATAGACTCAAACATCTTTCTTCACTTATTCTGACCTTTCATTGACATCTGTCATTTTAATCCTGTAAACAGCGCACAATATTATACAGCTCTTACTTGATGCCTGGTGGTTGTGAAGGAGGTCCAGTCGGGAGGAGAACAATTCCATCATCTTGTTCTGTAAAAGTTTCCATTGATGCTAGTCTCTTAGTCTCTCTCTCGCTCTCTCTCTATATATATTAATATATACAACACACACACACACAGTATATATATATATATATATATATATATATCACACAAACAGTATAGAGTATGTATGTATGTATGTATGTATGTATATGTGTGGTGTGTTACCACAATCTGATACCTTTTCTTGATCCCATGAGGCCAAGTCTTTTTGGTTCCTCTCCTGAAGTATTTTGTGTTCCCCCTTAAGTTTTTCATTTAGATCTTCTAGTGTCTGATCCCAGAAAAATGAAATGTTACCCAGTAAAAATAGCCAGATGACAGCAATATGACACAATAATTAAGTAAATAGACATATAATAAAAATGCTATACTGTACACATTACATCATGTGTTTCAGTTTATTCCTGAATTAATAATTACATCTACTATGTTCAAGCCAATGAGAATTTGGAAAAGGAAGGAAGTAAAACCAATATAATGATGCTTGTGACTCACCCTGACCTTCTCCTCCCAGTATGCATTTTTTCTGGCCACTTTTTCCTGGTAAATATCTAGGATTCTCCTCAGGGTGTTAAGCTTATTTTGGAAACACGTCCTCATTTTAAGAGCTGTTTTTTCCTGCACACACATAAATTAAGCATAAAATCACCAAAATCACCTTATTATTTGTCTGACTGAACGAACAGTAAACAAGCCTATCACCTGATTTTCTCGTGATGCAATGAGAAAGTTCTCCTCCAGTTCTTGAATCATCTCCTGATGTCTGCTCTTCATTGCAATCATATCATCTGCTACCTGTTGGTATGGTAACAGTCACATAGACCACTCAAATACAAAGTGGCCATTTTATTTTTTAAGTTTTTACATGATCGTCCCCTAGAACTGTTAAAACTTCATATTAAAAGAGTTCACCATTAAAGCTTTTATTGAAGAAAAAAGCCACTTAGTGAGTCTTTTTAAGCCACAATATCAATTGTTTTTGTGTAAAAGTGAATCATTGTGGCCACTTTAATAAATGTAATTGTAATACCGAATAATGTCTAGTATAATTTTAAAGTAACACATTTATGGTTTTGTGTTGATGAAGAGGCACCTACGTCAAAATGTTGGGAAACACTGTTGTAGTTGCCTGCATACTAAATTTCTTGAATGGGTACATTCTTTAATGCTAACAGTTCTGCATTGGGCAAACGAAACAAAAATGACACAAGGTGTGTACTGGAACCTGTTAAGATTTGTCTTTTTGAGAACTTGTATGAATTCTGGGTTTTGGGTTGTTCAATAATGTGTGGTCATGACTCATGAATGGGCCTTGAAGAACTAAAATCACATGACATCAGATGAGGCGTCTCATCCCCACCCTATGGCCCCAGGACAACAGTGGGAGTGACGGACATGTGACTAGTGCAACAAGCAACTCTTGGATAACAAAAATAATATGTGTTCTTGACCAACACACACTGGCTTAGGTTACATCTGATGGATAAATCTATTCATAAACATAACAAGAAAACAATGCAGAGTACACAATAGTCCATGAAGGAGTGACATCTACATACTTGGGTTATGCATAGCTTGGCAGAGTCGTATGGGATAAACATCTTGATATCCACTGGAGCCTCATCTTCAGGATGTCTTACACTTGCACTCATAGAAGACACATTGGGTGCTGTGATTAAAATTGGATGGAAATGAATGAATTTTGATCGGAATTTAAGTATGCCCAATCTTCACTGGCGGGACCTACCTTTGCCACTGCGTTTTGGACCACGGTGGCAGTCTGTGCCGATCCAGCGTTTGAACGTATTCCATTTGAGTCTACCTTTCCTCAGCCATGAGACCTCACATTTAGCTGCACCTTTAAATATTAACATGCAGTTACAGTGACACTTCACTCTTCAGGCTCTGTTGGGGAGTCTGGAACTTATTTTACAAAGCACTTCCTCTACATGGGGATAGATCAGTGACTGCCTTTTGTCTAGTATATGCCAGACAATAGGGGTTAATTAGCTAGACTGGTAATTGAGTCATTTATCTTATATAATCAGATACACACACATATCCAATTAAACAATACCATTCAAGTATAAAAATTTATTAAATCATTTGTTTATACATTTTTAGAATTAATTTTAAATATTAATTTATTTTTATTACGATTTTACAATTTTACAGTTTTACATATACATTACATAAATATATATAATATATACACATTATTTTAGTTTTTAATTATTAATTATTCCTTTATTTAAAACTAAATTAACTGATTAAGGTGTTTAATTAACAGCCGAGCACAAAGTAATTGTATGCACTTTATTAAATAAACAATTACATAACTATCATCATATTTCCACAATAGCACTGAATAAACCTTTTAAATTACCTAAACATGCCTGTACATGCCAAAAACACATCCGTATTTATACCTTGGGTTTGTCCACCCAAAAATGAAAATTCTGTCATCAATTACTCACCCTCATGTCATTCCTAACCTGTATGACTTTTCATTTGTCTGTGGAACACAAAGGAAAATATTTTGAAGAATGTTGGTAACCAAGCAGTTTTGAGTTCCATTGGACTTCCATGCATAGTATTTTTTGTCCACTATTGAAGTCAGTGGGACCCAAAACTGTTTGGCTACCAGCAGTCTTCAAAATTTGTTCTTTTGCGTTCCACAAAAAAAAGAAGGTTTGGAGTAAATGATGACAGAATTTTCATTTTTTTTGGTAGACTATGCTTTTAAGTACTTTAACACAGATTATTTTCACTTCTTTTTATGCAGTTTCTTCTTGTAACGTTTTCAGTGGCATAAACATCATGTTGAAACGCTTGTTCCAGATGTGCTTGCTTAAAAGTCAAAAAAAGAAAAATGTTAATATTTTTTTTCTTTTGGTTTATGTCAAGACGGTTTATGTGCCTTTTTAATGTCTTAAAATTAAGTTTACAAAATTAGGTAAAACATTTTAATTATATCATGTTATTTTAGGTACATAGTATTAAGATTCATATGTCATTAAGATTAAAGGTGTTAGTTTAAATGTTAAGCAAATATTAAACGATATTTAGATTCTGGGAGGTGACAGGAACATTCAACCCACCTCTATCTTTATCCTGGTGTAGGAGTGTATTATGGATGTTACATGGTCTACGCCACTGAACCTGTTCTCTTAGATCAGGCACACTGCCTGGCAGTTCCTCTGATGACACGATGGGATGAGAAAGTACCACTCGGGTGGAGACCACTGGATCCTCCTGATATCGAGAAAGGTCAGTGGTCTCCCAGGCACCTAGAAATAGTGAATGAAAACACTGTTTTAGCCTGATATAAGAAAATTAGATGTTCTTAGTCATCATGGTGTGGTTTTGGAAATGAATCCTCTCATTAAAATAATATTTAATAACATTTTCAAATAAAATCACCCCATTAATAGGGTCAACAGAACATTGATAAAGATAACTTAGTACTTGGGAAATATGTGTGTATATATATATATATATATATATATTATATACATATACACTAGAGTCTGATGACACAAAACTCAAGATGAACGGAAGTAGTAGGCACATGTGTGAATGTGATATTTACTTACGTTGCTTTGCTGCTGGGGCAACAGTATGGTTACGTAACTTCCTGCCCATAAAGTTCAAAGACATGGACACATTTTCTGCTCCAGAATTGACATACATGATGCCAGAGTGTTCGTATCTCTGTTTTGTTTGGAAATGGTACAAAGCACACATGTCACAATGATACATTGAAACACTGTTTGCAGGTTACACTCAGACGTGGCTGTACAGGACACCAGAAGGATTCCTTCACACTCACAAACATGCAAACTGAGCAATGCTGTTCAATAAGTTATATGCAACTTAAATGATAGCTTTTCCACAACAAATTTTAGGAATTGTCTCTATATGTTCCCTATCCATCTGAATATATTGATTAGAAAAGTAAAATCATCCCCCAGTGTATTTGATATTAAAAAGTGCAAACCTTTTGTGTAAAAGCATTTTGCTACCACTTGTTAAACAGGATTAAGCAGTGAGGGTGTGTGAACACTCTTTTCACTATATAAACAAAAGCTACCTCTGGCTATAACAGACAGAAAAATTAAGATTAAAGGTGTTAGTTTAAATGTTAAGCAAATATTAAACGATATTTAGAGATGAAGTTATATTTAGATTCTGGGAGGTGACAGGAACATTCAACCCACCTCTATCTTTATCCTGGTGTAGGAGTGTATTATGGATGTTACATGGTCTACGCCACTGAACCTGTTCTCTTAGATCAGGCACACTGCCTGGCAGTTCCTCTGATGACACGATGGGATGAGAAAGTACCACTCGGGTGGAGACCACTGGATCCTCCTGATATCGAGAAAGGTCAGTGGTCTCCCAGGCACCTAGAAATAGTGAATGAAAACACTGTTTTAGCCTGATATAAGAAAATTAGATGTTCTTAGTCATCATGGTGTGGTTTTGGAAATGAATCCTCTCATTAAAATAATATTTAATAACATTTTCAAATAAAATCACCCCATTAATAGGGTCAACAGAACATTGATAAAGATAACTTAGTACTTGGGAAATATGTGTGTATATATATATATATATATATATATTATATACATATACACTAGAGTCTGATGACACAAAACTCAAGATGAACGGAAGTAGTAGGCACATGTGTGAATGTGATATTTACTTACGTTGCTTTGCTGCTGGGGCAACAGTATGGTTACGTAACTTCCTGCCCATAAAGTTCAAAGACATGGACACATTTTCTGCTCCAGAATTGACATACATGATGCCAGAGTGTTCGTATCTCTGTTTTGTTTGGAAATGGTACAAAGCACACATGTCACAATGATACATTGAAACACTGTTTGCAGGTTACACTCAGACGTGGCTGTACAGGACACCAGAAGGATTCCTTCACACTCACAAACATGCAAACTGAGCAATGCTGTTCAATAAGTTATATGCAACTTAAATGATAGCTTTTCCACAACAAATTTTAGGAATTGTCTCTATATGTTCCCTATCCATCTGAATATATTGATTAGAAAAGTAAAATCATCCCCCAGTGTATTTGATATTAAAAAGTGCAAACCTTTTGTGTAAAAGCATTTTGCTACCACTTGTTAAACAGGATTAAGCAGTGAGGGTGTGTGAACACTCTTTTCACTATATAAACAAAAGCTACCTCTGGCTATAACAGACAGAAAAATGTACATTGAATAACGTTTGGTGAATCAGACAGATAAACATTAACATAATCAGTGAAATCATCACTAACCACTTTACAAATCAGATTAAAGAAATATGGAATCAGTAAATCAGAGGGGTTACCTGGATTTAAGATGACACTTGACTGCGGTTAGCTGTAGGAAGACCTGACTGGCAAACACGGTAGAGAAAAACTGGAAAGATGCTTGTTTTTGTGAGGAACCAAACTCTCAACGCTTGTTAAATATTAACCTCAGTGGATGAGGTTTCAAGTGGGATTAGTTTGCTTGAATGGCCAACACAAGCTGCAGACTGTCATCAGGTTTCCAATGTGTGAGATAGAGATTGTAACTAGATCTAGATAGGTCTATCTCTCTAGTACAGTGCTAATGGAAAACCTGCATTGTGATCATCTGTCAGGTTTGTGAATTATTGTCTTCCCTTAAAAATGTATTAAATATTTTTTCATGAATTGAGAACCATATGATTGGACATCATGTTCTCATGACCTGCCTGGTATCTGTCTTCATGTACCTGCATTGTTACAAAAAAAAAAAAAGTTGAAATTTCGGTAAAAGAATACCAGCCTAAAAACAGTATACATATGCATGCAGTATATGAAAGAAAACAATGCAGAGAATTCTGAAAATGCCTATTTTTACAACACAAATATATGCATTGCCTTGTTAAATTTAATATAAATTTCTTCTGTAAATAATCAAGTAATTTGTGCTTGTAACTTTTGTACAGTAAAATTGCATGCATTTTATAATATTAAATCATTCAACTTTAAAGTCGTTATATTTATTCATATAGTGCTTTATATAATAAAGACGTTCTATATGGAAAGGTACATATGATCAATTATTAGTTTTGTTGTATTTTTTTTTTTTTTTTACATTTTCCATTCTTTTTTGGTTTAACATTTTAGTCATCGGTCATATTGAAGGCAAAAGAAATATAATCTTTCTGTGAATTATTACTGGGTTTTAATATGCTTACTAAGTGGTGTGAAAAAAACTATTTGTAATATAAATTAAAGCTGTCAAATGAGTTACACTTGTTGAAATAAACCCAGGTGATCTCGCTGAGTTGTGCAAATCTTGAAAATCATACTTTAATACATAGTCAAGTCAAGTCAAGTCAAGTCAAGTCTGCTTTATTGTCAATTCTTCCACATGTACAGCACATACACACAGAGAATTGAAATTGCATTACTCTCAGACCCTTGGGTGCATACAGATAACATAAATACAGATTAAATACAAAATACAACTATACAAATATACAAATAAGGTAAAATGTAAAAAAATATATATAAAGCACAAGGCATATGGCAGATAGAGTGCAAACCAGTAAAGTAAACAACAGTGCAGATATAGATATAGTGATTGTAGTGCAAAAAATGATTTGTAGTGCAAAAGAGCTTATTTAGACTGATTAAAGTGACAGTGTGTGTGTGTATTTGGGAGGGGGGAGTGGGAGAGTCCATCAGAGGGTCAGAGTTCAGTGGTGTGTGGGGCAAAAGAGGGGAGGGGGGGCAAGGTCGGGAGGGAGTTCAGTTTCCTGACAGCCTGATGGATGAAGCTGTCCTTCAGTCTGCTGGTCCTGGCCTGGAGACTCCGCAGTCTCCTCCCTGATGGCAGCAGACTGAAGAAGCTGTGTGTCGGGTGGGTGGGATCACCTGCAATGCAGAGGGCTTTGCGGGTGAGACGGGTGTTGTAGATGTCCTGAAGGGAGGGGAGAGAGGCACCAACGATCTTCTCAGCTGCTCTCACTATGCGTTGAAGTGTCTTGCGGCAGGACGCGGTGCAGGCGCCATACCACACAGTGATGCAGCTCATCAGAATGCTCTCGATGGTGCCTTTGTAGAAGGTGCACATGATGGGGGCTGGGGCTCTGGCTCTTCTCAGTTTGCGGAGGAAGTAGAGACGCTGCTGTGCTTTCTTGGCCAGTGCTGCAGTGTTGTCAGTCCAGGAGAGATCCTCTGTGATGTGCACACCCAGGAACTTGGTGCTGCTCACCCTCTCCACAGTCACACCATTGACGGTCAGAGGAGCATGCTGAGTGCGCACTCTCCTGAAGTCAACAACAATCTCCTTCGTCTTCTCCACATTCAGAGAGAGATTGTTGTCACTGCACCACCCGGCCAGGCGGCTCACCTCGCTCCTGTAGTTTGTCTCATCTCTGTTGCTAATGAGACCCACTACAGTCGTGTCATCTGCAAACTTGATAAGGAGGTTGGAGTTGTGTGACGGTGTGCAGTCGTGGGTCAGCAGAGTGAAGAGGAGGGGGCTCAGCACACATCCTTGGGGGGCCCCTGTGTTCAGTGTGATGGTGCTGGATGTGCTGCTGCCGACCCGAACTGCCTGAGGTCTTCCAGTCAGGAAGTCCAACAGCCAGTTGCACAGCGACCAACAGCCAGTTGCATATGGAGATCACATTGAGCAACTAGTAAATTAATATACCCGGTTGCGCTAACAGATGTTAGGCAGAAATGTTTGAACATCACAAATTCCATATATTAGGTGCATGTACAAGTCCAATAAAGAAGAAGGCTATAGTTTAGACTAGAGGTTTATATGATCAAGTATGGGTGTTAGGAAATACTGGAAAAATGTGAAAGGCAGAGAACATGTCAAGATCTGTTTGGGCAGTGTTAGGTCAGTTCATGAGTTCATGCGTGTCCCGACAGGTCTGCATTAAAAAAACAGCAATGACTGGCTGTATCTTTTTAAAACATTCAATCTTTTATCTAAGGAATGTGAATTGATAGGTATGTTGTCTCGTCGTTGCCATCATTTGGTTGGTGTGTATAAAAGAATGAAGTAGAACTGGAACTTCAGAAGCATTGCTTGTCTCTGTTTGTTCTTCAATGACCTTTTTAACGAATTCTGTTAATTAACCAGTGGTTCAATCTGATACAGTACATGATCATAATGTGCTATCATATCCACTGAACCATGGTGAAGAAATTGCTCAACACAACGCTGGTAAATGAATGCCATAAAAAGCTTCACATAAATTGCTTGCAAAAATTGCGTAAACTGCCTGCATCTTGCATACTTGATGGTGTGTAGCCAGAGTATTCATATTGCATACTTTTGGCATTTCTACTTTCTCTCCTCCTGGGAACAAATACATTCATGGCTGAGGGGTGTTTAACATATTAAATTTGCCCCTGAATTTATTTTTCGAATTTTACATTTTATTTATTATTTTCTGTATTCATTTCTAAACTTCTTTTTTCACTTTATTTATATTCTTTTTTTTTTTAAATTAACACCAGCTGACTTTAGATCAGCAGCAGCCTTTGCTTACTGCGTGCATGCATGCTCACAGAAATGTTTAATTCTGGTTTTACACAAGGTTACTCTATTTTTAACTAGCCTGCTCTGAAAGGACAGACATGCCTTGAATTTGTGAAGATTCTCTGCACACATTGCCAGGTTCAAGTGTTGCATGAGGCAAGACAATGGCTGTCGGTTGTTTACTAATCATGCATGGCTGCCATGCCAATCTAGGCATGCCTCATGAGTTCCCTGAATTATGATACATTTCAAATGAGTTGGACTATGTGATCATTCACTGCCTAAACAACAGTATTTGTTTCATATTTCATCTATCTGGAGTGCGTATGGGTTTTTAATTCTATACAGTATAACTTAAATGTAAGATTTTTGCAATTATTGTAGTCAGCCACGATTAATTTATTCCCTTTGAGAAATTTAAAGTATGGTCATGTGATCTCACGTGAATATGTCTGCTCCCATGACGCGAAATAAAACTTGTATATTTTTACCCGAAATAAAGCTTTTATTACGCTACAGATGTCAGTGTTCTTGATTTAAAACTGATTTTAAAAATAAATTACTGGTACTGAATGCTCCTTTAAAAAGAGAGAGAGAGAGACTAAAACTATTGTGAAGGAGGAAAGCCCAGACTGTCCGTGTCGACGCCCAGCTCTAACGCAACAGTTCAGCTTATGTTGCTAGGTGTGGTTCTCTGAGTATAAATACAGCTGAACACTCTCCTCCTGCTCGCTTGCTGTGCAATCGGTCTTGGTAAGTGAGAAACTGGGATTTTCTTGACTTCTTACGCGTTGTCTAACTCCGGATAGTGTTTTCAGTTTTTTTTTAAATATACGTATTTATGATAGCGTTGTTTTTGTTTACTGAAAAATAAGATTCAAATGAGAATAAAAAAACAAAAAAACAATTGCTAATGAAAGTTATGCAACAAAGTTGTGCAATAGTGTTGCTTAAAGAAGTTATTAAAAACTTTGCACACTTTGAGCTATAAAATGCCACATCCTGGTTTTGTGAATTGTTCTGTTGTTCAGTATTTGGATGTGTGACTGATGCATGCCAGACTTTAATGTTCTGTTCTTTTGGTGAATCATGTGCGTCCTGTAAGATTCATTAAAACTGTTAGAAAACGTAGATTATTAATTCCTGAAAACTATAATTCTGTTTTTTTTTCTCTCTTTTCTTTCTTTTTTTTAAAGGATTCTGCTTTTTGGTATACTGTATGTGTTTTAACATTCCAACATTTTACTGTAGGTTTAGCTGTTGAGTTTCAGGTGCCAAAATGTCCTTCGTCAGTGCTTTTCTTGAGCAGCTTGCCTATCAGGGCATGCAAGACAACACGGTACAAGACATCACAGTAAGTTTCTTCAATTTTCTGGAAAGTTTGAGCAGCACCAGACTAAATGAGTCAGCGATAGGAATGTACTCCACTCCCTATTTTAGCCACTTTCATCCTGTTAAAGGGAAAGAGCATCAATATTTCTGTGTTTCCTTCCTAAAGTTCACTTCTTGAATTTTTTTTTTTTATTGAATATACTTCTTAGACTGGTCTGCTGTAAGTCAGTTTGTAATTTTACATAGGCTATTTTTAAAGGATTTTCATAAGTGTCTCTCGTGCCTTTAGGATGGGCAGGGCACAGTGAAGCCCTTTGCTCAGTTTAATGCAGCTGCGGATGCAGGCGTCTTGGACAAGGCTATTAAGGCAAAAGGTTGGAATATGAATCTTGAAAAGTGAAGATGAATAAAATGCGTCTACATCTTTGCATTCTGCATCTGTTTGCTCTGTTGACAGAAGTTTTTGTTCTCAGGTGTGGATGAGGTCACAATCATTGAAACGCTGGTACGCAGGAGCAATGCCCAGCGCCAGCAAATCAAGGCCGCTTACCAGCAAGCATCCGGCAAGGTATCACATTCACTGGACCTGAAATCAACACATTTTTGCTGTCTAGATCCTCCCTCACCTAAATCACTTCTCCTCTGTGCAGCCTCTGGATGTAGCCTTGAAAGCTGCTCTTAAAGGAGAGCTGGAAGAAGTGGTTCTAAGCCTGTTGATGACTCCAGCTCAGTATGATTCCTTTCTGCTCAAAGGTGCCATGAAGGTAACATTATTTTCAGACTGTGGATGGAGAAACTTCATGTTTTTACTCCACATCTGGTGGATATTTTAATAGACAACCACCAGACCTGCATGTCGTCTTACACGCAAGATTTGACATGGGCAGTATAACTTAGTCTTTTTCTCTTCAGGGTATGGGCACAGATGAAGATACACTTGTCGAGATTTTGGCCTCCAGGACCAATAAAGAGATCCGAGAGATTAAACAGGTTTTCAAACAAGGTAACAATATTGCTAGTTATCATCCAGTTATGCTTTTAAATACGTTTATGGCATGAGTGTCCAATCCCGCTCCTGTAGGGCCAACAGCCTGCAGAGTTTAGCCCCAACGTGCTTCAACACACCTGCCTGGAAGTTTCTAGTAATCCTGAAGATCTTGCTTGGCTGGTTTAGGTGTGTTTAATTAGGGTTGGAGCTAAACTCTGCAGGACCGTGGCCCCCCAAGAGACACTCGGGGTTTGTGATACGTGAATGCAGTGTGTATATATGAAAATTGAATGTATGACTTCTATTTCTAGAATATAAGAAGGATCTAGAGGCGGAGATCAAGTCTGAGACAAGTGGGGACTTCAGGAATGCCCTGCTTTCTCTCTGCAAGGTTGCCTTTGCTCTTTATAGTGTTTCTCAATTCTGCCCCTCCCATTACTGCATGTTTTGGCTTTTTTTTTTTTTTTTTTTTTTTTTTTTTTAAACTGCAACTTACTAGGAGAGTGATTTGTGACTTGAATTGGCACAAAGTGCTTTTGCTCGTTGTTAAACTTTTTTTTTTATTTGAATTCACAGGCTACCAGAAGTGAAGACAAAGTTGTGCAAGAGGACTTGGCTGACAAAGATGCCAGGGTAATTAAATGATTTATTGTGTATATGTGGTTGGTCATTGTATGTACTTGTCTTTTGACCTCCGATTCTGCCTGTAGGCCTTGTATGAGGCAGGAGAGAAAAGAAAAGGCACAGACTGTGGTGTGTTCATTGACATCCTCACTTCACGGAATGCTTGTCACCTGAGAAGAGGTATGGTTGACTTCCTCCACCTCCCTGTTTTCAAAATCCACCTTAGTGATGATAGTCATTTTTTTCTTTATATTTAGTTTTTCAGCTGTACTCAAAGTACAGTAAAGCGGATGTCGCAAAAGCCATTGATCTGGAGTTGAAGGGGGATATTGAGAACTGCTTGACTGCTGTTGGTGAGACACTTAAACCTTCATATCTGTCCATCGCATTACGTACTGCATTTTAAAATGGAATGGCATGCAATAAGTTCACTGAAAAATGTTATTTGAATTGCCGCAGATCCTCTTAGATGTACCATACCTTTTAAGACTTGAAATACTTTCTTACAGTATGACAAGAATGCTATTTTAATGTTTCCTTTTACTGTATGCAATAATATGACAGGAATGTTATTTTAAGCTATGAGCAATGAAACCGAAGATGGCTTTTGCATGACATTTCCAAAATAAATATTTTCATCTTTTCTTATCACTGTGACTTATCTTTTCAACAGTGAAATGTGCTGGAAACAAATCTGCTTTCTTTGTTGAAAAACTAAATCAGGCAACAAAGGTAAATGGCAATCTAATGGATCCATTTAAAAATTAAAACGATTAAAATTAAAAAATAAGATTAAAAAATACAGTTTTAAGTATAAATGTATATGAATTAAAAACTAAAAGAACCACTGAGTGTGACTTTTTCACAGGGCTCTGGTTATAGAGGCCAGATCTTGACCAGAATATTGGTGAGCCGCTCTGAGATTGACTTGGCCAAAATCAAGCAAGAGTACCAGAAGAAGTTTGGCAAGAGCCTCTACCAGGACATCCAGGTAAATCTCAGTTAGCAAATTTTCAATATCATCATCATCATCATCATTATACTCTTCAATACATGAACACAAATTAATTAGGGTTATGCTGTATAGATTCAGTTGTTAAAGATTGTTTTGTGTTCGTTTTAGGATGACACCAAAGGAGACTATGAGACGATCCTGCTAGCCTTGTGTGGCAATTAATTAGTGTAAAAAATGAATGTATACAGATGAAGACCCACCAGCTATATGAATTATACACCCCCATACAAACAATTGTAGTAGAATGAAAAACATTAATAAATAAAAACTTGACTAAATGTATGTCTTTGTAAATTCATGCAAAGCTTCTAAAGTGTTGTGGTATGGTGTATCTATTCATTTTTAAAGTCGTGTTGACTGAAAAACAAACCAAAACATGCACAAAATGGGAGTTTAATGACGTAGATACGAAGGGGATCACATAAGCCCAAATAGTCACTAAGAGTTGTACTGATTGGAATCAGGGATAGAAAATCAAGTCTGACTCAAGTTACAAAAAAACAAAACACTTGCATTGTTTTTGCAGGCTCTAATTTATAAACCAACTCCAGTTTTCAAGGTGCCTTTAAAGGGTGCTCCAGAGTCCAGAAGGTTCTGCGACGTGTGGCAATCCACAACTGGTCCTCAAAAATCTTTTAATTTTGTGGTATCATAATTACCATTTGATTCAAGTAAAAGCTATATTTCTTTTGGCTAAAGATGCCTTTATATTTATTAAGGAAATCCTTTGATAGCTCATTAAAAAAAAAAAAACATGCAAGAGGGTTTATAAACTAAAATCTGCTGTATATAGAAACTATTACCGTAAAGAATCGATGACAAAAGATAAATTACGACTTGGACTGTGTGTCAGAAACATGTTCGGCTGGAACAATGGGAGTGGTAGGAGAAGAGATAAAGTTTGAGAAAGAGAGGGGGCGCGATTTCTTAACATTCCTTACTCCATGGCCCCCAATAGTATGGCCCTGCCCTACGCTGCAGTACCGCTGTAATGACGGGTGACGCTGTTGATTTAGTGGCCGTGAGCGCTCAGGAGAGCTATATGTTGATTGGTTGAAAGAGTGCGTTACGTTAAGCGCTCCCGCGGAAGTACCGAGGTTTGGAAAACAGGTTATGCTGCATCGAGCACAGCGGGTGAAGGAGACGTTTACCTGTAAATACAGTAAGGTATTTGCTGTACTTATTTGAACACTTCTATATACATGGATTCTGTTGTTCTTAATCCTAATTGTAAGTCTCCCTCTAGTGCCTCGAGCATATGTTGTGACAGTAATGGACAGTTTATGACTATAAATGAAATCGTTATTGAATATTTAATTCTCTTATTTATATTTTAGTGTCTAGTAGTTTTCAGAATGTAACGTTATATGAAAAATATCTAATGACACTTGCATTAGTTTTATCCGTTATATCCAGCTGTGATATTATTTTATGCCATGAATGAATGATGTGCAATAATGAATGAACCACTGTTTTTGAGGTAAGACACTAACGTTACTGATAAAACCATGCACTTGTCAATTTAGGGGTTTTGGTCTATTTTGCTCCCGTAACATGTCTTCTTTCAAACTAGAAAACATCCAAGATGTATGTGTTTATTTTATTATTTGCGTCTGCTTTCAAATACGATACATATCTTTAAAAGGCGTTTTCTCAAAATGATGCAGAAATCATGAGAAAGAAATCGTCAGAAATATTCCCTTCAGTAGCACTTCCATACACCAGACTTTCCAGTTTTAATCCTATCAGTGTTTTAAAAAATTGTATTTGTTTCTGGATGTTGACAATATTTCCTGATTCACTGAGTGGGGGGGGGGAAAAATCTTGAAAACCCTTAACTCTAATATGTCAACAAAATGAAAGGAGGATTTTGAAAACTTGGCTTTAACCAGTTCTGTTCTTGAAATATGTGCATATTTAATTAGTTTTAATGTACTGTAATCAATCAACTTGGAAAGTATGATGTTGTCTGTTACTGTTAGTTAAAATGTTTTACCTTATTCACCTGTGTTGTCATGTCTTGAATAGAAATGTCTTAAATAGAAACCATTATGTTAACTTATGTTGACAAGTCCATGTCAAACACTCTTCTTGTGTTGATTACAGAGTACAGCCATGAGCTGAGGCTCCCAAAACCTTCTCAATGATGAACGACAAACTGGTGTTCCTGGGTCTCCTTTACTTCATCCAGGGCATTCCGTATGGCCTGCAGTCGTCTTTGCTCCCGGTGTACCTGCGGGGTGCTGGCCACTCCCTAACCCGCATCAGCCTCACCAAAATCCTCTATTTCCCCTGGGTGCTCAAGGTACTCTGGGCCCCTCTGGTGGACCGGACTTGTACCAAGCGCTGCTGGTTAGTGGGCACAGTGGCTGGTCTGGCCCTCACCTGTTTGGTGAGCGCTGCCATCTCACCTGATGTTCAGTACATGGGTGTAGCAGGCTCCCTGCTCGCTATGAACGTGCTGGCATCAGTACAGGACATTGCAGCGGATGGGGCGGCCGTGCGGCTGCTCAGGGGTCAGGGGGAGCTAGGTCTAGGAAACACCGTGCAGGTGGTGGGGTATAAAGCTGGGTCTGTGTTTGCTGGAGGGGGGCTCCTGGCTGTGATTGATGTTGCAGGCTGGGGCTGGATGTTTGCACTGCTGGCTTGCGTGTACGGAGGTGTTGCTCTGTTCGTGTGGGGTGCCCCGGTGTTGGATGGAGAGTCTCTGCGGGGACAGGGAGAAGGACGGAGAGGGTCAAAGGATGTGATGCAGCCATGGAAGGTGTGGAGGAAGCTCTTGTCTGTGCCAGGAACGCCATGGACAATGTTCTACGTTCTCACTTACAAACTAGGTAAGATATTTGTCATAATTCGACATCAGATGGGTTGATTTAAATGATTTGGATATCGCAAAGTACATCTACAAGTACATCTACATTTCCCTCTAATTGGTTGAATAAGTTGACACACACCTGTTGTTTTGTAGTTGTGTACCGAATAGACTATATTCATACAGTTAATTATTTGTTAAATAAATATAATGCAGGGTTTCCCAAAAATTCATAATGTTCCCTCCGCCCCACTATTGTGACATTGTATAGATAAATTAGTCACTTTCCTGGTTAAATTGTTGTATTAAAATGTAATAAAAGTGTGTGTGTGTATAATTTCTAACTTTTACAAATATATTTTTATTAAAATGTATTAAAAATGTTATATATATATAATTATAATATAAATAATACATTATAATAATAATAATACATTTTAATACAAACTATTTGTAAATGATAAAAACTATAAAAAAATATTTGCATTTATAAAAACTGATTGTAAATTAATTCTGTGCTCTGCATCACTATAAGTAAGCTTTATGTTACTTAACAGGAAAGTGACTGGCTTATTTATACAGTGTCAGAATAGTGAGGTGATGGGAAAGTTATAAATGTTTGGAAGTCTTTTCTCCCCAGGTCTTTCTTTCATTTCCATGACTGACCATGAACTTGAAACTAAGTCATGGTAATGTGTTGTTTTTCCACAAGATGGCAGTCTTGCCCTTTTCCATGCTTACTGTCACATTATTCTCAATGATTTTGAAACAACTAAACATCAGGAAACCATACACAGTAACTTTGGTCACTCAGTTCAGTTCAGAATGTCTGTATACTGGAACTGATTGAAGTCTTTCATTTAACTTTGCACCAGCGTTTAACCACAAGCCCAACTTCTGTGCCATGATCTGAATCAGGAATATAGACATAAAGAGCAGCTAATGAATCACTTTCAATGAGCAGAATGTGGTGTTTGGCACCAGAAGGGGATTATGTCCGGATTAGAGTCTCTTTGTGTCTGTGGTATTTTTTATTGAAAACTGAATTCAGAAATATGTACTGCACTGTTTGTGTTAATGTATTTTGTTTGTGTCGCTTAATTTAAGTGTTATATGTTTTTCAGAACAATTTAATCAGAAAACCAAGCTTTGTGTGTCATGTGTATGTGTCTCTGGCAAAGAGAGAGAGGTGGCATTGTAATCGGATGAGCTTCAGCAGACGAAAGCAGACAGGACAAGCGGCAGCCCCCCTCTTAATCTGTCTTATAAGGTTTCTCCTCCGATCATCATCATCATAATCACTATTAAACAGCACACAAACTAGTTTACTAATGCACTAACATCTGTGTGCTAGTAAATGGCAAAACATAATTTTCTTAAAAACTATACTTACTATACAGTGGTGTGAAAAAGTGTTGGCCCCCTTCCTGATTTCTTATTTTTTTGCATGTTTGTCACACTTTAATGTTTCAGATCATCAAACAAATTTAAATATTAGTCAAAGATAACACAAGTAAACACAACATGCAGTTTTTAAATGAAGGTTTTTATTATTAAGGGAAAACAAAATCCAAAACTACATGGCCCTGTGTGAAGAAGTGTTTGCCCCCCTGTTAAAACTGTGGTTTATCACACCTGAGTTCAATTTCTCTAGCCACACCCAGGCCTGATTACTGCCACACCTGTTCGCAATCAAGAAATCTCTTAAATAGGACCTGCCTGACAAAGTGAAGTAGACCAAAAGATCCATACTTGTTTTTCCTTTTCCATTGACAAAAAACATTGTTTTTTCTTTTTTATTCTTGTTAAAAATTTTAGCATAAATCTAACAGTCCCTTGTGCAGTTTATGCTTAAAGCAAAAAACAACAAAAACTTTGCCAGTGGGATAAGAAAATAAACTTTCAAGAAAAGTTCAACATTTATTCTCTAAAAACAGATCGTAATATTTTATGCTGTTTTGTTTCTCAAGTAAATTTGTTTAAGTTTTTTAGGAGTGTGTACATTTTTTTTTTTTTTCTGGAAAAAAGACAAAAGTATTAATTTAAAGAAATTATGTTTGTTGTAGCTATAAAATCACTTTAAAACTATTAACATACGTTTATGGTGAAGTTATAATAGTTAGTCTGTGCTTGGAATGCAACATGCCTTTAATTGGTCATTTGCCTTTTTTCTCCTTTTATTGCTTGCTGCTCATTTATCATTATATGATCATAAACATTACATAGGAGCTCACAAAATAAAGTTCCTTGTTACTTAATAAAAAAATTTAACACGGTGTTTATTGGATTGTAGAATAATGTAAGTGTCTTACTAAGAAGACAAATCAATTGCACTTTACACCTAATGTTGTTGCATGTCATTTAGTGCTTGTATTGCATCACAGGTTGTTACCAAAAAATGTGTTATATATATATCTATATATATATAAGTTCTCTCAGCCGAAGCGTTGATAACGGGTGATGGGGGGGGGCTGGGATTGGGCCAGACGTGGAGCTTCCCTGGGAAGAGTCCAGCTGGAGGCGGGAGTGTACTTGTGGGGGTTAAAGTTGGATTCTCTATGGAAGTAGAAAGCCACTTTTGCTCTGTGTCTCGTTGTCTTTCACTCTCCTTCTCCAACTATATATATATATA